TTTTTTGTTTTGTTTTGTTGTTGAGACGGAGTCTTGCTTTGTCGCCCAGGGCTGGAGGGCAGTGGCGCGATCTCAGCTCACTGCAACTCTGCCTCCTGGGTTCAAGCAATTCTACTGCCTCAGCCTCCCGAGTAGCTGGGATTACAGGTGTGCGTCACCACCACGCCTGGCTAATTTTTTGTATTTTCAGTAGAGACAGGGTTTTACCATGTTGGCCAGGCTGGTTTTGAACTCTTGACCTCAAGTGATCCACCTGCCTCAGCCTCCCACAGTGCTGGGAGTATAGGCATGAGCCACCATGCCTGGCTGGCTTTGCCCTTTTGAGGGACAAAAGCACTGCACCCCCAAGTCATACCGGAGAGCGTTAAAGATGAGAATGAAGCTGACTTTTCCAAGGTTTCCCACAAGCAGCAGGAATTGAACCTGGGTTGGTTTGATTTCAAAACTCTTGCTCTCAAATGCTTTGAGTCAAGGGCTGACAGCAAGTTCCCGGGGGGTTCAGAGGTGGGACAGGTCCCCTCCCCAGGCTCCTCAGAGGTCAGGCACCGTGCCGCCTGACACAGTGGGAGTGCAGGACATTGTTGATTGAATTGAATGGGTGGACTTGGGTCTTGTGGGTTGAGGAGGGTTTGGATGAAGATACCCAGGTGGGCAGAGAGCTGAGCAGAGTGTGGGAGCGGGGCATGGTGGGGCTGTATGCAGAACCCACAAGAACAGAGTTTGGGAAGCAGGGGTCATGCTGGGGAGGGGGAGCCAGGACCCAAAGGCCATCCTTCTCAGCCCGGGGACCTGAGTGTGTCCTTTTCTGGGACAAGTGGCTGCTTCAGAAGAGGAATGGGCTGGGGGGAGGGGCTCCTTGTCAGGAACTGACTTCCCCACCCACATGAGGGCCCCTGTGGGTTTTTTGTCTGTATTTTGTGTGGTTTGTCCTCCTCACCCAGAAACACAACAGACTTGGTGAAAGGTAGGATTTGGTGGCCGTGGAGGTGGGTGTCGTTCACACCTCAAAATGCACGGGTGTGATTCTGCTGAGAAAGCAAAAAACACAGTGAGAAAGGAAAAAACACAGTGAGAAAGGAAAAAAAAAATGAGCAGGTGGCTTTGTTCTGCTCGCAGCAGGGTTGTTGAGCCACGTGAGATGGATGCCCAGACAGTCCTGCTCCAAACCCTAGACAGGCCCCAAATCCCCCCCGTCCCCAAGCTGCCCCCACAGCCCCCAAGTCCAAGCCCTCGCTCTGCTGTTCTCCCACCTGCAGTGAGCTGAGCCCTCCGCGTGGAGCATCCTGAATGCCCACCTCTGCCGAGTCCCTGAGGCTTAGATTCTGTGGCCACGCAACTGAATACCACCGTGGCCCGGGTGACACCTTGGTCCCCCAGGGCTCTGGAAGCACCTGCAAGCTGGGGAGGGGCTGGCACTCCAGGGCCTGGAAGCTTCCTTCCCGCCCCACCTCTGCACCCATCTGGGGGCCACTAGAGCCTTTGTCTCAAAGCCCTGCCCCAGTTCACTTTCTTAGGACCCTGAGCAAGACAACTGTGCTAAGGACATCACTGTCACAAGAAATACCTGTGACTCAAAACGACGTCCTATGGCTCCGTCCTCAAAGGCACAGCGGGGTGGAGCGAGGGCGTTCCCGAAAGCGTCTGAGGAGGCTGGGGAAGGAAAGAGGTTTGGGAGGGAGCTGCCGTCCGTGGAGTCAGGCACCGTCGTGCAGAAGCAGAACTCGGCGAGTGACTCAGGGAGCCGTCAGGCCAGTGTCCGCGGGGCTTTCCACCTCTGACCTTGACTCACGCACAGGTGGCGCTGGGGGAGGCGGGCTGGGCTGATCGTGACCTGAAAGCCCAGAATTGCCTGCAGACACGTTGCTAGGGGACTCCAGGGACGCACTTGCGGCACCTTCCCCATGGGACCAGCTGGGCAGGGCCCAGGCGTCTGCAGAGCTGAAACCCCCTATGCACGGGGTGGAGGGCTCGGGCCCCTTCTGGGTCTGCTGTTGAAGGATGTGGGATCTCTCATCGGTCTCCTCACTTTTCAGATAGGAAGAGGGAGAATGGGAGGGATTGGCGAATCCTGAGAACCAGGCCTGTTCGCTTGGTCCCCGGTTTTGGGCCCCTCCCCTGCCCCCACCCCACGCCACGCCACACCCCGCTTTCTCCTGTCTGCACCCGCTGACTTTCTGATTCTTGGAGATCTTGTGTTTAGGCCTTTTCTGGGAATCCCCAACATCATGAAGTCAATTTACGTCAGACTGAAACTTAAATACAAGTCTGTTCTAGTGGTCAATGCAAGTTTTGTTTTTTACCCTGCCATGATTTGGAATGCAAAAAAATATATATCAAAAGGAGAGGATGGGTGCAGTGGCTCATGCCTGTAATCCCAGCACTCTGGGAGGCTGAGGTGGGCAGATCACCTGAGGTCAGGAGTTCAAGACCAGCCTGGCCAACATGGTGAAACCTAGCCTCTACTAAAAATACAAAAAAATTAGCCGGGCATGGTGGTGGTGGCACCTGTGATCCCAGCTATTCGGGAGGCTGAGGCAGGAGAATTGCTTGGACCCGGGAGGCGGAGGTTGCAGTGAGCCGAGATTGCGCCACTGCACTCCAGCCTGGGCAACAGAGTGAGACTCTTGTCTCAAAAAAAAAAGACAAAACCAAGTGTGGACAAGGATGTGGAGAAACGGGAGCCTTCATAGATTGCTGGTGGGAATGAAAAATGATGTAGCAACTTTGGAAAACAGTTGGGCAGTTTCTCTGAAAGCCTAGACATGGGCTGGGCATGGGGGCTCACACCTGTCATTCCAGCACTTTGGGAGGCTGAGACAGGCAGATCACCTGAGGTCAGGAGTTCAAGACCAGCCTGGCCAACGCGGTGAAACCCCGTCTCTACTAAAAATACAAAAATTAGCAGGGTGTGGTGGTGCACACGCCTGTAATCCCAGCTACTTGGGAGGCTGAGGCAGGAGAATCGCTTGAAGCTGGGAAGCGGAGGTTGCAGTAAGCCAAGATCACACCATTAACCCCAGCCTGGGCGACGAGAGTGAAACTCTGTCTTAAAAAAAAAAAAAAAAAGAAGCCTAGACATGAACTTACCATACGCCCAGTAATTCTACTCCTAGGTATCCACCGAAGTGGGGAAAACGTCCACACAAAGACACGTCTGAGAGTGCTCAGACCAACTTTCTCCGCAGTAACCCCGACTGAAAACTGCCCAGAGGTCCACCAGCAGATGAACGGAGAGACGAAGTGTGGTCCGTCCAAACAACGCAACCACACAGGTGAAATGCTGAGACACACCGCAGCGTGGACGAAGCTCGAAAACCTTGCGCTAATTAAAAGAAGCCAGACACAAACGGACAATTGCTGTTTGGTTTATTTGTATGCAGTGTCCAGAACAGGCAAATCCACAGAGACAGAAAGCAGACGGGTGGCTGCCAGAGGCTGGGGAGGGTGCAGGGCGGGGGCCAGGAGTGACTGCTACACTTTTTTAGGAAGGGAACAGAAAGGTCCTAAAACTGGGTTGTGACGATGGCTGCACAACTCGGTCAATTCACTACAAATCTTTGAACTATGCGCTTGACACGGGTGAATTTTTTTTTTTTTTTTGAGACAGAGTCTTGCTCTGTTGCCCAGGCTGGAGTGCAGTGGTGTGATCTCAGCTCACTGCAAGCTCCACCTCCCAGGTTCACGCCATTCTCCTGCCTCAGCCTCCTGAATAGCTGGGACTACAGGCGCCCACCACCTCGCCCGGCTAATTTTTTATATTTTCAGTACAGATGGGGTTTCACCATGTTAGCCAGGATGGTCTCGATCTCCTGACCTCGTGATTCGCCCGCCTCGGCCTCCCAAAGTGCTGGGATCACCGCGCCTGGCCAAAATGGGTGAATTTTATGAAAGGTAAACTTTACCTCAATAAGGTTTTTTGTTTTGTTTTGTTTTGTTTTTTGAGACAGGGTCTCACTCTGATTGCCCTGGCTGGAGTGCATTGGCACGATCTCGGCTCACTGCAGACTCAACCTCCCAGGCCCAAGTGATTCTCCCACTTCAGCCTGCTGAGAAGCTGGGACTACAGGCACACACCACCACACCTGGCTAATTTTTTTGTATTTTTTTTTTTAGTAGGGACGGGGTTTTGCCGTATTAACCAGACTGGTCTCAAACTCCTGGACTCAAGCGATCCACTCACCTCTGCCTCCCGAAGTGTTAGGATTGCAAGCATGAGCCACCGCGCCAAGTCAATAAAGTTGTTTTAAAAGCATTGCCTGGGCCGGGCACAGTTGCTCACGCCTGCACTTTGGGAGGCCAAGGCAGGTGGATCACTTGAGGTCAGGAGTTCGAGACCAGCCTCGCCAACAGGGTGAAACCCCGTCTGTACTAAAAACACAAAAATTAGAGCTAGGCATGGTGGTGCACACCTATAGTCCCAGCTACTTGGGAGGGTAAGGCAGAAGAATCGCTTTATCCCAAAAGATGGAGGTTGCAGTGAGCTGAGATTGTACCACTACACTCCAGCATGAGCGACAGAGCAAGACTCCATCTAAAAAAGAAAAAAGAAATAAAAAATTTTCAGCCACGCACGGTAGTGTGTGCCTATAGTCCCAGCTACTCAGGAGGCTGATGTGGGAGGATCAGCTGAGCTCAGGAGGTGGAGGCTTTAGTGAGCTATGATTGGTGCTACTGCACTCCAGCCTGGGCGACAGTGTAAGACCCTGTCAGAAAGAAAGAAAGAAAGAGGAGAGAGAGAGAGAGAGACAGAGAGAGAGAGAAAGAGGAAGGAGGAACGAAGGAAGAAGGAAGAAAGGGAGGGAGGGCGGGAGGGAACAGGAAAGGAAAGGGAGGGACGAAGGAAGGGGCCGGGTATGGTGGCGGGTGCCTGTAATCCCAGCTACTCAGGAGGCTGAGGCACAAGAATTGCTTGAATCCAGGAGGCAGAGGTTGCAGTGAGCCAAGATCATGCCATTGCACTCCCGCCTGGGAGACACAGTGAGACTCCATCTCAAAAAAAAAAAGAAAAGAAAAGAAAAGAAAGGAAGAAAGTGCAGGAAGTAAGAACTCCATGGTGGTAGAAGAAACATGGGCTTGTGGGCCACCTTGACCCCAGGCTTGCTGTGTCCCTGCTCGCTCCCTGTTCACCTCCCCACTCCCCAGGATGGAACGGGCACCCCTATGTGAGGGCGCAGGTATGCACAGCCAGGGCGGGTGGGGTGGCCTTTGTGGAATGTGCTGGGGGAGGGGGCGATGGCGGAACGTGGATGGGAGCACGCTCCTCTCGCTGGCCTCGGCCCCTGTGCGGCTTGGCCTCAGGGACAGCGCTCCAGACAGGTGCAGTTGGCCCTCTGCACGAATCCGCCTGCCAGTGCAGCATTGGCCAGCGTCAGGATAGCACCTGCTGGGAACTCTTTCCCAGTGGCAAGGTTTGCAACTTCCCCGGGAACCAGCGCCCGATCCCAGATAGCCAAGCCAGACATGCTCCCCACGAAGGCCTCGGAGCTGTCGAACCCGCCCCCCACGCTGTCTTGTTCCTGGCCCAGCACCAGGGACCCTCCAGGGGGGATCTCGTAGCCTTCCCTGAAGCGGGAGCCGGTGGCCACCAGCCTGCGATCCACGTGGAGCCAGTACCTGCCCTGAGTGGATGTCCAGATGACACAGATGTGGTGCCACTGGCCGTCCAGCAGCGGCTGCAGGGGCAATTCCCTGAAGGCCGGGTCCCCGATCACGAAGTGGATGGATCCGGGCAGCAGGGAGTCTCGGCCGTGCAGCACCAGCTTGTTGTCATTGTCCTCGGTGGCGTAGGACAGGAGGGTGCCCAGGCGGCCCGACGCCGTGCGGACCCAGCTGCAGAAGGACACGGCTCGCAGGGCAGTGACGAAGCCGGGGCTGAGGAACACCACGTTCTTGGTGGAGGCGTTCGGAAAAACGAGGGTGGGGCCCACGCCGCAAACTAGAAACGGAGGAGGGAGGGGTCAGCTCCATGCAGGAGGCCGTGCAGAAGCATCCAGAAGCACATGTGCTGTGGGCGCCAGGCCTCCCGCTCCCGGCTGCCACCCTTCATGGAGCACTGACTCTGCACTGGTCCTGCCGATGGCTCCCCTGCAGCGTCTCCTTCACCCTCTTGATGGGATCACCCCAGTTCCACGGGTGGGAAGACTGAGCATGAGGGCCATACTCGGAAGTATGGGAGTATGGGAGCCCTAGCTGTCGGCCCACCCAGCTGAGCCAGCACCCCTCTCTGCCAGGGAGTCTCTGCAAATTTCATGACTCACAATAGCACAAGTTTAGAGTTTCACGTTTCTGAAGGTCACAAGGCCAACACGGTCTCCCAGGGCTCAAATCAGGCGTGGGCAGGGCTGGTTCCTCTGGAGGCTCAATGAGAAACCATCTCCTGCCCTTTCCAGCTTCCAGAGGCGCCTGCACCCCTTGGCGTGGGGCCCCCTCGTCTGTGCATCCCGCCATCTCTGCTTCCGCCCTCATGCCCTCCTCTGACTGTGTTCCTCCTGCCTCCCCTTAGAAAGCCCCTGTGATGACAGTGGGCCCACCCGGATGATCCAAGACCCTCTCCCCATCTCCTGGCCCGTAACTGAATCTCTTTTGAGAAGGGGAGATTTTCCGGGGGGCCTGGTCTAAGGAGGAGCTGGAGGGAAGCCTGGCCATCAACTGGAAGCCTGTGGTACTTACTCTCTCCTGGCCCCCGGGGGGACCATGCCTGCCGTGGAGGATCTTTTGGGGCCGTGGCAGTCCCACTGAGTACCCGATGGCTGCCTGAGCCTGGGGGCTCCTGAGTGCCCTGGCGAGGGGCCGAGGAGTCTTGCCGGGGGCCCCTGTGCTCGGATGCAGCTTGGAGCTCCTGCCTGTCCCTCTGAAGCTTCAGGGAGCTTGGGCCCAGCAGACCAGGCTGGGTTGGGGCTGGGACGAGGGCCGGCCCCAAGGCTGTGATGCCAGGGTGGGCCACGGGCAGCCACCCCTCCAAAGCAGCCAGCCTGGCGCCCTGACTGTGGACGAGGCCCTCCAGGCGTGCCAGTGAGTCCTGCAGGGCGTCCCCCTGGGCCTCGTGCGCCTTCCTCTCCTGGGCCTGCTGCTGGCTCCTCTCGCCCAGGGCGAGGTCCAAGGCCCGGAGCCGCATGTCTATCTTCCGGCTTCGGCGCTGCAGCTTCCTCACCCAGGCCTTGAGCTGCACCAGCTCCCCCTGCACCACAGCCTGTGACTGGTTGACCGCCTGAGCCACGGCCTGGCTCTCTTCCGCCAGGCTGCGGAACCGGACATCAACGTTGTAGGACACGTTGTAGTTGCTGGCGACGCTCTGCAGGTGCGTCAAGGTCACTGCCTGGAATCTCCGGAACTGTAAGGAGGACACGGTGATGATGGTCCGGGCCGGCTGGGAGGGATGGGAAAGGCTTTGCCCTCTCACGCTGGGAGCAGCGGCCACATGCCTGGCCCACAGTCAGCACTGGCTATCTGCCCACTGATCTGATCCCCACTGCGATGCCATGAGATGTTGTGGGTGCCAGGGACCGACCCCAGGCCATGCAGCTGCACCACGTGGGGAGTGGACTCCAGGCCCATAGCCGGGGCTCTGATCCCCGCCCCTCGCCCCATAACCACCGGCAAGTCACTTCTCCCCGTGACCCCAGCTCCTGCCTGTGAGCAGCGGACGGCAGGGTGGCCTCACGAGTGCTTTACGAGGCCCAAACAGGAAGCACCCGGCGCAGGCCCGCCAGGCACCAAGCACTCCGGAACTGTCCGAGGACCCCGCGTGGGAGTCCGGGAGGCCGTCCACACCCTCTGCCTCAAGGTGGACCTGTGACCTCCCACTTTCCACTCCCCATGACACTGCCTGGCTCCCATGGCCCCAGTTACCCTGACTCGCTTCCAGACCCCCTTCTAGCCTCTGGCCCCACCTGACCCCCACGTGATAAGAGGCTTTTGCGTCCGGTGTGAGCGGAGCCCAGCTCTTGACCCCCACACGTTATGAGGCTTGTGTCTGGTGTGAACCCAGCTCAGCTTTTCCCTGGTGTCCAACTGCAGGTGAAATAACGTTCACGGATGGAAAGAGCGTCACACGCCATGTCCGTGTCCTCCAAGCCCTGATGTTTACCGCTCTGTTTCTGTAACATCCGTCTTCCAGCTGCTGCCAATTTAAAAACCCGACTGCGCCACGTCAGGGGGATACTTGCCTGCTCCTCCAGTCTACGGAGCCTCTCGAAAAACGGTTTCCTGGGCCCCGCTGGGGCGGCTTCTTGCGATGAAGCCTCATGTAGATATACAGTCACAAAAACAAGAAAGAAAGACAAGGTCTTCCTCCACAAGCAACCCATCCGGAGAGACGGCGAGGCCCCAGCAGTCTCCCTCCCGGCCACAGGAGAGGGTGGAGGTGGCGCTGTGGGTCTGTCTCGTGTCTTGTCCCCCCAGCTCTCCCGCTGAGTGGTTTTCCTTCTTTGGCCCTGGCTGGATGTCAGCTTCTTCCTGCCGCCTCCATGAAAGGCATTTGCCTTCAAGCCAGTGGGCTCTGAGAATTGCAGGTTCCCAAGGAGACAGGCTTAAAACAGATGCAAACAGTTTCTTTGAAGAATCAATTCAGCTGGGTGCAAGCCCGCGGGCAGGAGGCGATGGCTTTAACAGCAGCACATGGACTTGTGCTCCCACGAAGTCGAGGCAAGACAGGGAACCCGACGGGGGCCGGGGAGTCAACACAGCCAGGTCTGCACGGGCATCCGTCACCCAGGCTGTGCACGGCTGCATCCTGGGAGGCCCCGCCTCTCTCAGTAAAGCAATGGAAATAATTAATTATTATTATTATAATTATTTGAGATGGAGTCTCGTTCTGTCGCCCAGGCTACAGTGCAATGGTGCAATCTCAACTCACTGCAACCTCAGCCTCCCGGGCTCAAGCGATTCTCCTGCCTCAGCCTCCTGCCTCCCGAGTAGCTGGAATTACAGGCACGCTCCACCACGCCCAGCTAGTTTTTGTATTTTTAGTAGAGACGGGGTTTCATCATGTTGGTCAGGCTGGTCTCAAACTTCTGACCTCATGATCTGCCTGCCTCAGCCTCCCAAAGTGTTGGGATTACAGGCGTGAGCCACGGCACCTGGCCAATTAATTAATTTTTTTGACACACAGTCTTTCGCTCTGTCACCCAGGCTGGAGTGCAGGGCATGACCCCAGTTCACCACAACCTCTGCCTCCTGGGTTCAAGGGATTCTCCTGCCTCAGCCTCCCAAGTAGCTGGGATTACAGGTGTGTGCCGCCACACCCGGGTAATTTTTGTATTTTTAGTAGAGATGGGGTTTCGCCACGTGGGCCAGGCTGGTCTCAAACTCCTGACCTCAGGTGATCCACCCGCTGTGGTCTCCCGAAGTGCTGGGATTACAGGCGTGAGCCACTGAACCTGGCCAATTTTTGTAGCGGAGACAGGGGTGCCCCACGTGGGCCAGGCTGGTCTTTTTGGTTACAGGTTGCGTACTGGCTTGGATGAGACCCAGGCAGGCCTTACGTGGAAAAGGGTCTCTGCAGATGTCACGAAGGATTCTGAGATGAGACTATCCAGGTGGCCCTAAGGCCGATGACAGCAGTCTTTATAAGAGACAGAGGAGGAGGCACAGAGGACATGGCCTGTGAAGACGGGGCAGAGACTGGGGTGACGCTGCCACGAGGAGCCCCCAGAAGCTGGGAGAGGTGAAGTGGGACACCGGCCCCTCCGGAGACTTCGAGGGAGTGTGCACCTTGACTTCAGACTTCCAGCCCCCAGAACTGTGATAGGATTCATTTCCTTGTTTCAAGCCACCCAGCTCATGGGAATAAGATCATCCACGAAGTTGTCCCAGTGAGGGCACCCATCATTCCCAAGGTGGCATGAGCCCAGTGGGTGCCAGGCCAGGGAACCATTGGTGGTCCCCACGCTCCCCTTGTCAAGTGTCAGAACACCATGGACATGGAGAAGATGCAAAAAGCATAGACAGAAAATCGTGGGCATGTGGACGGGGCTGGGGCCTTAGGCCCCGGGGGACTGGCGGCCACCATGACAGCCACGCTGGTGCCACATGCAGAGCGGCGATCTTGCAGCTTCCAACTGACAATAAGATCCATTTATTTATGTATTTATTTTATTGCAGTAGAGGCGGGGTCTTGCTATGTTACCAGGCTGTTCTCAAACACTCCTGGGCTCAAGCGATCCTCTCACCCCAGCCTAGCCAAAGTGCTGGGTTTACTGGCATGAGCCACTGAGCCAACTTGATTTCCATTTAAAGTCGTGGGTCGAGGCTGGGTGTGGTGGCTCTCACCTGTAACCCCAGCACTTTGGGAGGCCAAAGTGGGCAGATCACTTGAGTCCAGGGGTTCGAGACCACGCTGGGCAACATGGCAAAACCCCGTCTCTACTAAAATTACAAAAATTAGCCAGGCGTGGTGGTGTGCACCTGTAGTCCCAGCTACTTGGGAGGCTTAGGCAGGATGATCGCCTGAGCCTGAGAGATGGAGGTTGCAGTGAGCTGAAATCGCACCACTACACTCCAGGCCGATGACAGAGCAAAGAATAAAGACATTTTCAGATACACAAAGGCTTGAGAAATTTGTCTTCCATGCACCCACTGTTGGATGTGGAGCTTCAGGAAAAGACGAAGCCGCCATGGGCACTGGTGAGGGCTGGAACCCAGCAGCGGATGGAGGAGTAGTTTCCGGGATGGTGGGATGCTGCCCGCCCCACATCCCATCCATCGGCTCTGCCTGCAGATACATGCCCTGAGTCTCAGCTGCTTCTCCACACTCCCACTCCGCCCCAAGCCCATTCCCACGACGGCCACCTGCTCCCCGCGTCCGTGTACCAGCATGGACCCATGCCTTCAATGCCTCTAGGAGTTGCCTGCCACACAAGCAAAATCTTCAGTCCCTGCCAGGGCCTTCTGTGGCCTGGCCCACGGCCTCTCTCCCTCCAGGCCTCACCCCTCCATCTGCCTCCCTCGGCTCCACCTCCCGGGCCACAGTTGCGGCCTCAGGCATTCGCACCTGCCGTTTTCCTGCCAGTGTGAGTCCTTCCCTGGCTGTCACCACATTCGGGGCTCGGCTGTAAGGTCTGTTCAGAGCTCTCACCGTATTGAAGACAGCACCCCCTGCTCTCTGGCTCTTCTTGTCTTTTTTTTTTTTTTGGAGGAGTCGCGCTCTGTCACCTAGGCTGGAGTTCAATGGCACGATCTCTGCTCACTGCAACCTCTGCCTCCTGGGTTCAGGCGATTTTCCTGCCTCAGTGTCCCAAGTAGCTGGGATCACAGGTGCATGCCACCATGCTCAGCTAATTTTTTTTCTTTGGAGACGGAGTCTTGCTCTGTCGCCCAGGCTGGAGTGCAGTGGCACGATCTCGGCTCACTGCAAGCTCCGCCTCCTGGGTTTGCGCCATTCTCCTGCCTCAGCCTCCTGAGTAGCTGGGACTACAAGCGCCCACCACTACACCCAGCTAATTTTTTTGGTATTTTTAGTAGAGACGAGATTTCACCATGTTAGCCAGGATGGTCTTGATCTCCTGACCTCGTGATCCACCCATCTCAGTCTCCCTAAGTGCTGGGATTAGAGGTGTGAGCCACTGCGCCTGGCCACTGGCTCTTAATTTCTTACCCTGCCGATTTTTTATTTTCTTTCCTTTTTTTTTTGAAACAGGGTCTTGCTCTGTTGTCCAGGCTGTAGTGCAGTGGCAGTGAACATGGCTGACTGCAGCCTCAACCTCCTGGGCTCAAGCTATCCTCCCACCTCAGCCTCCCTAGTAGCTGAGACCACAGCCACATGACCCCGTGCCTGGCTAATTTTTAAATTTATTGTAGAGACAGGGTCTCACTATTTTGCCCAGTCTTGAACTTCTGGGTCCAAATGATTCTCCCACCTCAGCTTCCCAGTGTTGGCATTACTGGCGTGAGCCACTGGGCCTGGCCTCTGCCAGTTTTTCTGCCTCCAGGCCTGTCACCTAGCATATTTCGTATGTACCTTATTTGTTCCCCTGATAGGTGAGCAGGAACTTTGCGTCATTTGTTGCTCACAGGGCTTGGTGCACCAAGCAGGCATTTAATCCATATTTGTTGAACAAACAGATAACTGTTTCCCAGCTTTTCCCACATCCATCGCTGCTGAACTGGTGCCTCCTTAGCCTGTCTTCCTGGATTGCCCCCCTCCACAAAGATGAAGCTCCCCAACACTCTGGTGCAGTTTACAGAAGGCGCTGCATGTTGTAAACGTTCAGTGTCCGGCTGGCCAGGCTGGCGGCCACAGCCACAGGTAGTACGGAGCCCTTGAGATGGGGCTAGGGCCAGTAAGGAACTGGACTTATGGCCGGGCGAGGTGGCTCACGCCTGTAATCCCAGCACTTTGGGAGGCCGAGAGGAGACCGCGTGGATTCAGAGCGCGTCAGGTGATCGGAGACCATTTCCTGGCATAACACAGTGCGAAACCCCGTTCCTACTAAAATTACAACAAATTAGCTGGGGCGCG